GTCAGAAACAACAGGTCACCATCACTGCTACAAAAACTGGAAAAGCAGGACATGGAGCAAAAAAATGTTGGTGGAATAAATGGTTCACTCACCACAGTTGTCTGGGAAATGCTTCCTGTTCTCTGCACATTTCTACAGCTGTGGTACATGTAGTCTTGGAAGTTTTTACAGGTTGTCTTGAAGGTAGTCAGATTTAGCATAGGTACTGGAAGCAGGAGTTACTATTCTCCTCTGCCTTCTGCAGTTACATAAACCAGGGCAAAGTAGATTTTAGAACAATTATGTTGATGATAGCATTTAAAAATAATTTTGTACCATTTAATGTTGGCACTTACACATTATGCAGAAGTAAATAGTCCTCCATGAGCATTACTTCATACAGGTAATACTCATATCACCTTACCTTGAAGAAGAGCAGGATGAGTAGGAGAAACAATCACAAATTTAGCAGAGAAACACATCTGAACCTGTAAAAAATTTGCAGTGTAACTAACTGTACCTGTTGAAAATGCTTTTCGAGATTGAAGTCTGTGGATACAACGCAAACCAAGTCTGTAACAGGAGTAGCCACACCTGATTATGTGAGATCGTGTCAGTTGTGATAGGTGTGATTCCTATTCAGTAGTTTGGAAGAGCTTGTACTGAATTTTAGCATGTCTTCTTTTGAGCAGGATGCATTAACTCATCCTAAAATGGCCAGCTTTAAGAAGTAGATTATAGGTCATGTTTTTAGACAGCTTAAATCATCTTATGTCTGCCTGATATCTTACAGTTTTCCTGCAAACTAGAGTTACTACAAAACTAAAAATTCAGTCTTGGAAAATATTCTACTTTGCTAGTTTTGTTGTACAAGCATAAATTACATTCATACCTTTATCCTAGGTGCGTGCACTAAGAACCAGGCTTTAGGGTTTGGTAGCCAGAGATGGGCACCTGCACTGCAAGCACTTTGCAGAGGCTGAAGAAGGGAAATTTCATGGCTGCCCCCACCCCTTTGTTCAGCGCCCACAGGACACTGTTGTGTGCTGGATGCTCCTGGGGGTACCCATGGCCTAGGGAAACCTCTAAGGGGATGGAGGAAGCAGCCAGAAGCAGTGTCACAGCTGCCATTTTCTTCTCCCAGCTTTCGCTTCTGCTAAAAGATTCAGGATAAGTTTTCTATCTCTCTCTCTCATGCCAAGGCAGGGATGTACCAAAAAGCAGAAATAAGAGGCAGAGAGCGGAAGGAGTGGAAATTCTTAAACATTCCAGAAGTAATAATTGGTCTAAAAATAGTCACTTTCTGCATGAAGGGAGGAAAGAGGAGAATGAGGCCAGTGTTTCTGCTAGGTTTTATTTAATAGATTTGTTCCTCTTCAGCATCTGGGATAGTATGGCCATACAGTCCCTCTTTTTAACCAGCCAGCCCAGTTACCAAGCCAGACCTTATTGGTGAAAAGACTTAAGTCCAGCGTAGTTGCACTCCCACCAGCTTCGGCTCTGCTTCTCACCCTTGCGTCGGTCCATGCTTGCACCCCATCTAGGTGTCCCTCCAATGCAGGCGCATATGGGCTGACATGGGGTCATACAATGGGCCTCATGGATGGCATATGTGAACAGAGAATGACACCCTCCTCTACAGAGACCGATCAAACTGCTACGTAAACTCCAATGCTCCCTTCTCGGTCTTCCTGCACCCAGGTTTTATGAGAAACAGGTAAAATCTCAAAAGGTTGTTGATTCAGATAATATGAATATTTGAGGGGAGCCATGTGTTCATTAAATGGAAGCTTCATAATGAATAAATAATAAAAACAAAAGGGATTAAATAGTATAAGTAGAACATCTATAGATAATCTACAGTTGACAGGCAGCTGGACCATTGTGTGGGGAATCTGATTTAAGAAGAATGGGATTTTCGACTGCTATTCCAGAATATAACTCCTTATTCCACTAAAACAGCTACATATTTAGCTTCTCACTAGAAACTCTTAATAAATCTTCATATAGAAAAGCTCTGAATAGCGAAATTGTTAAAAGGAGGTATTACATTTAGTCATTTTGTGCTCGTCTCTAATTCATTCATTGATCTTCCAGTGTATACTCAATATTCTCTCCTCTACCATGGTTTGATTGAAAACAGTATTTACTGTATATAATTTTAACCATAACTCCTATGAAAGCTTTGCATAACTATACAATGCAAGAGTATATGCTTTAGCATAGCACAATGTTAAAAGAAAAGCACAGAAATCTGTGCTTGAGAGGTTGTTCATGTGCAGTGTGACTAAATACCTGTTTGTCCCACCTGTTATTCTTCAGTGGCATGCAGTTAGCTTGTGACATTTCTCATCTTCTTCCTTGTTTCAAATTTTTGACAGTTTCAAACTTTCACTTTTATTTATTTCCGTATTTTAAGTTACTTTCATAATGTAATGTGCTTATTGTTTTGGATCCTTTTAGTCGGAAGTATCCCAGAACTGTGTCACTAGGCTCTCTTTTTATTTAGCTGTGATGCAACATTTTCCTTTCCGTTCCTCCAAAAGTCATAAAACAGTTGCAGGTTAAACAAAAATGAACTTGTGTGTACGGCAGGTCTTACCGATATATTGGCAGTTATCTCCCACGGACATCCTTTCTGAGTCAACTTTGCTTTACATCATCTCTTTGCCTACTGGATGGCAACAACAAACACCCATGTGTTCACATGTTCTTAGGATGGGTACCCACGGAAAGGAAATCCCCGTGGATAAGAAACTGCATCAAATCAGAGAACAGCCAAGTGAATGGAAAATAACCCTAGATCTGCTTTATGTCTATTGCAAACCAAGTCAACATAGGACTGATGACAGCAGCTCGCGTCTATTAGCAAATGAAAGACAGCATTGTATGTGAGAGGGCTCTGCTGTCCAACACAAATGCTCTTTTCTCATTTCATTCCCTATTATTTTTCCCCTTGCTCCCTGACAAAAAGCTGTTTGACAAACATGCCCACCTTAGGAGTGGGTTTAAATGTAAGAAAGGCCAAGGCTCCCACTGACTGCTTGTACAATAAGGCACACCTTGGACTCTGTGATCTCTCAGCTGGAGGATGCCCTAGCTCTTCACATTCAGAACAGATCTGTGCAAATAAACACTTGGAAGATTTTTCTTCCTGTAATTCACCATGACTGCTATTTGGTTTCCGTTTTTCAACCATTTCGATTCAGGAACACAAAACAGAAATGCATAGTTCTTCTGCTGGCAAGAAGGACATACCTAAATATTCACATTTCTTTATTGAAATTTCAGGGGTTTGACCTTACAAATTCCATATGCTAATTGGCATACACTTTTTCCTTGCCTTATCCAGTGCCGGTGGGAAGTATGGCAGAACGTATCACTGTCCAGGTATATTTAAAAGAGCAGCTGTCCAACAGCAGCCAAGAAATTTCCCAGGATTTGGTGGGAGTTGCTCTTACCCCAAGCGCAGACTTCAGCACCAGAAAGATCTAGTAGGCCTGGTGAACCTCTATGTTCCTGACTCATTTTAAACTACATTTATGCATAGATTTTGTAACGAGATTGTTATAGGTCCTAGAATATTAATTGATACTTGATTAATTCTCTCACCTCTATTTGAGGCATTATCTACTTCAGTACCTCTCTTCTGTGTCCATTATCACACACATTGTCATTTTGGCCACCCACAAAAGAACCTCACCAGCTTCGCGATGCTTTCCTTCTCACGTCTCAAATACAGAGAAGATATCCCAAATCCAATCCTTATTCTCCTTTTGATGTGACATGTCTTTGCATCAGAATCACCTGCTCTCGTTAAGAAGTGCAACTGCAAGGGTAGGTATCAGTGGCCAACAGTCAATGAACAAAAATATGCAGAAAACCAGTTCATCTCAGCTCAGTCAGGCTCTCAGTCTGCTCTGGACTCATCACACTGTGCAAGAGTGCTCAATGGTACGTATGTAATATAGAGTTCAGTTGAGTGCAGGTGTTACAATGGTCAGGGAAGCACTCTGAACATCCAAAACAATTTATTTTTATAGCGACACTTCAGTAGAGTTTCTGCAGCGCTGGAAAATTTAGCTTACTGTAGCTGCAGTGTGGCTACGAAAATAGCCATTGGGATGTTCAAAGTACTTTTCTACTGTGTTGCATAAATTCATCGGGGAGCAATAAATCAGGTATCTTTTGGGAATCTTCCCTGCCCGACACCGTCTGAGTAAAAAAGTGTCAGATTTCCAAATAAATAAACAAAGAAATAATTTTACACATGAGACACAAAAGTAACCTCTTAACCAACAGTTTGGCCTATCATGATGCTCAGCATGTGCTAACAATAGCTCCTGGCAGGCTCATGCTCCGGTTCCCTGTGGGCTGGCTGTGAGACAGATCTTTATTGCTACTGCTATCCAGATCAAATCTAGCAAAGGCACGCCAACCTCTCTTTACTAGCCATACAAATGCCTTAAGACAAAAGAAACACACTGAATTGCCAGGGACTGGGGAAGAGATAAAGAACAGAAAAGGGGGAGAGAAATCCCTGCCAAGTTGAAGGCACAACAGTTGTACACCAATCGCTATGGGGACATTTTGGGTTCATCCCTTTCACACCCGTAGCGCTCACTTCTCTTAAGGCAGAGAGGTGGCTTGCAATGTGCTGCTCCCAAAAATGTCCTTGCTGAATGAATCCTTCCTGTAGCTTCACGTCAGGTGTCTGTCAGACATGCCCAAATACATGTTTGCAAGACCTGTCCATACAGAAATAATTTCAAAACCTACGTATGTCAAGAACCAAGACAAAATAATACAGCACACACCAGGTTGAATGTGGTTAACTAAGTTGCTTTTAGTTTATTAATTTTATCCATTTACATAGTTGGTTTTGAAAACACCACGTGAAAGAGCCAGGACAAAGTGTAACAAAATGGTACGGGAAAAGATTTCAATATGCAACATGCCAGTGTACCTACTGTGTTTTATACATACTTTACATTGAAAACCAAAAAAACCCCCAGCTTTCAGACGAAGTACACATTTTATTTTGAACTGGCAAATTTAGTTTATTAATATGTAAAAAAATAAATCTACAATAGCAACAGTGCAAACACATCAGAACTTGCATGGCATACGGAACACAAATGAATAAAAATTATTATACAAAGGGCCCAAAGTTTCCTATGGTACTGGCTGTGACATGTAGAACAAACAACAGGGTGAGGAATAAACTGCAATGTAAACAGGAAGAAGAGCTGCATATTACTGGTTCTGTCTTGTACGGCCTCTCTATTTCAGGGGGTGAAGCTGTCATGCCTTGGATCTGCAATTAAAATAAAAATTCATCAGAACTTCATCACATAATATTAGAAATCTGCATTTTGCTAACTATTTGGCAGCTTGCATGAGAATCTAGTTTTAGTTCTGCACAGGGGCTGTGACTCTTATTGTGGAGTCACCAAACTCAGTAAAAATATTAATATATTGCATGCCAAATGATCAACCAGTGTGCACATCCACTGTTCTCCGCTCGGGAGCAGCTGTACACACTGGTATCCTCTCCAGTGAAGCAAGGCTGGGCGTTTGAACGCGAAGCCAACCATAAACGAGTGCCAAATATAAACATCAGTGCACTATCAACACTCTTCTCATAACGAGTCCCAGACTAAAACCAAAACACAGAGCTCTTCTAGCTGTTAAAAAGAACTAACTGTCCCAGCTGAAACCAGGGCACTCAGAAGGATAAAGGTATTTTCAACTCAATTCCTCTGCTCCAAGTTTTTTCCTTGTAACAACTGACTGATTGGCTGTTCAGGTTAAATCTGTTCTTTATTTTGATGAGGATGGCCAATTTAATGTATCTATCACCAACTTCCCTATCACTAACAAGGGAAGAGAAAGGAAATAGTTCTAATCTTAGCTTTGATGAATATGCTGTAGTCATTTGAAATAGGAAGCTATGATTAAAAGGAAGAACTAAGCCCTCCCAGTTCCAGTGAGCTCACTCTGACTACATTCTTCAAGTCGTAAATATTGTTCCTTCATCCTGTAAGATAAAGAACAGCATTTTCCAGAAAGCATACTAATTTTAAAAAGAAAATGCTTATCCCCTCCTGATAAAATTTCTGTGTGCTTTTCATCATCTTAACTTGTACTCTGATAGATAATCAGAGTAGTTATGCAGCTGCTACTGGCCAGCAGTTGCAAAGGTCAAGAAGTTTAACCAAAACTGGTGAGCAGTCATACGTACTGTCAATAACTACTTTTCACGGAAAGTCTGTAGTGGGACAAATATTAGAAAAAAACTGAACCTCTTTGATTACTTATAGCACACAGTATTTCATTGACATCCCATTGGCAGAAAAGTCCGACTGATGTTAGAAAGACCCAAAAACACCGCTGCAGGAAGGGCAATTTCTCTACCACCTGAAAGCACTGTGTAACCTGCTACAAGGCAGCAGGGCTGTTTTGTGGGGTGAGGAGAATGACGAAAAAAAGTCCTTTCTTATGAAGTATTTCATCAGTAGTATCTGGTATCAGCTCTGTTAGGCTGGCCTAAAATCATGGTAGGAGATAAACCATTAAAATGACACAGTCTCCCCTTCTCAGTAGAAAAGCTCAAAAAGGTAAAATGAACTTTTGAATTTGGTCTCTGTAAAAGAAGTTCAAGGAGCAATATGTATTTTTCAGCATCTCCTTCAAGGATGATACTACATACACTAGTAGTTCTTTATAAACACACGTCAACACTAAAGATGACAGCTTTTCCCAGCAGTCCTGTTAAAATACCAGTATACATTTAGAACAAATAGTAACTTACTGGGAAATTATTTTTTATTTTTTTATCTTACTTTTTTTCATCAAGAGAATTGGGAAAGGAAAACTATAGGAGATAAGTTCTTCCAAAGGTGCACAAAAGAAACAGACGAGCCAAATATACTTTTTTTTGGCCCAATGCTATAGACATCTCTAAGACACAAGACCAACAAAAAAGCAAGAAATATTGGAAGAGTTCTTATATAACCTTAGGTAGTCTAGATGACTGAGTTAAGAAGTTAGATTCTTGAGGCTTCCTTATGCAGTCAATAAGCTTCCCCTTACAGAGCAATTCAGAGAAGAAACCTAAGTCAGGTATTTTGAATCATCTGTTGCAAGACCCTAACATAAGTCTCTGACAATGGAGGCAGCCAAGGAAAAGCAGCTTTCTAACTTGGTCGCCTAATCTGGATGCATATGGTTACTCTCTGATCAGTCCCAGACACACTGAAAGACTCCATACTCCTATTATAGATCCCAAGTGCTGATCAAAGCTCCAATTCTTCTATTTTTAAATACTTCTTGAACTTGAGCTAGGTGAAAGCATTGATAAAACATTCTCATTTGTTATTGTGTAAATGCAACATAGCCGTGTAAACACTCCGAAGACATAACTAGACCCTTAGTAATATGCAATGAAGCCCAGCAAATCACATTCTCCATGGCAGTGTTGCCTTCTTTTCAACACTTAGACTTACCGACCATTCTGCATTATCTGTTTTTGAACATCTCACGTTCACTGGTAGTTTAAGCACAAGTTCGTTATAGGAGAGACCCTCTGATCTGGACCATTTGAATTTGTTCATTGCATCCATGAAAGACAGGTTTTTATATTGCTTAGGGCTCTTGATAATGAACGGCCAAGTTCTGAAGAAAAATAAATAAATAGATTTTTTAAAATGGATAAATACCATCAAGTTGAAACTCATGAGGAAAAGCTTTTGGAGAATCTACTCAGAAAAACAAATATACCATTATCATGTATGTTATGCCTAACTCACATTCTCAGCTAAGTTCTCTGCTACTGAAAATGGATGCAGCTTCATTGATTTTAACAGACTTAGGAAAGTTTGTCAGTAGTTTAGGACTTGCTGCCAGACACTTTTAGACACGAAGGATTTTAAGTTAAGGAAAATAATTACATTGCTGTTCTCTGATCTACAAACTAAACACACAGGCAATACAAAACAGATCTTCTGTAGTAACTTCTCAAAACAAAACAAAACAAAACAAAACAAAACAAAACAAAACAAAACAAAGCAAAAAAGCCACACCCTCTACTAGGCTTGGCAGAAAGTGTTGTAAAGAAACATTTGCCATTAGAAAGCTGCTTTCAGATGGCTCTGCCAAGCTCTGGTCTTAACTCAGATAATAGGTCAAAACTAGCACAGGAGTTGCTCTAACATGCATTGATTGGCAGCAGTGCCAAAAGATCAAGTGAGAATAACTGGTGGTGTGGACATTGCCTTTTGGCATGTCCCTACATGCTGGCTGCAAGGGGACTTTTGGACAGGGGTTGGATAGACACCTGCTGCGTTGCTCTAAGCGACCTGACTATTTGTCCACATGTGGAAATTTTCCCCATGAACAAGTGGGACCAATCCCATTCCTTACCAGTCGAAGAGGTGGAAAGGGAAGCAATGAGATCTTTCTTTCATTTAGTAAAGAAAACTCAAAAATAATAATGAAGGAAAAGTAAAAAAAAAAAAGAAATTGCTAAAGAAAACCTTTTCCGTTGTTCTTGCTTTCTTTCCCCTTGTTTGACTTTACTGGGATGAATGGAAACAACATAGTGGATGGGTCAAGTTTTTAAAAACAGAAAGTCTAATACAGCTAGTCAAAGAATTAAAGTAGCTAAGTAATCGAGTTCATACTTTGGTTGGAGCATGAGTTCTCTTTTCAAAGCACTTTAGACAGATCTGTGTTATCTTGCAGTAGGCTGCCCTCCACTTGCTTTGGGTAAAGTGCTGCCGATGCCAAAGTTCTGCTCTACTCGAGATCCAGGCACAGCGGACATAATTTTAATCGAGCATCTATTTTACACTACTGTGGCCTAATTACTTTTATCTCAGCTCCTCATGATTCATGCCACTGCCTGTGCCACCAGACTGAGGGAGAAAAAATCGAAGTGCCTTGATCCTGCTTCCAGTTTGCCTTCACGTGTAAGTCAGTGAAGAGTCAGGGAAGTCAGTGAAGCAGTTCCAGTGTAAGACTGACACAAGAGAGATGTGTATCAGGTCACATATCCTTAGGCTGACAGAGCTTAATGAAACAAGAATTGTGGATTAGGTCATAAATACTAGAGGCATTAATAATCTCTTCTTCTAATTACTATTCCATTTGTGGCAGACAGTCTGCATACTTACTCTATTCAAAACATCTTCATTTCCCCAGGCCAAATGTGCATTTTTTCTTTAAGTACAGTTATCATGAATGAACACTCAAGAGAGCATACATTTGTTAGAATATTTTCTTTCTAAGCCCAGAAAGACCCTTTCAGCTAGGACTAATTTAGAAACTGTGTTCTCCCTGATAAAAAGAGATTGTAAATAGAAATAGTGTGGAAAATGAAGTAGACATTGATTGCATTGTGACTTTCTTCAAACTCTTCTGTCTTGGTTATAAATTTCAGAACTAAGACCAGTAAGCCTGTACATCAAATTACTTTGCAGTAGTAGTTTTATATGGTTTTGCTAAGATAAACTCTATAAGGAAAGACAACTTTTAAAATTCAAATGTGATGACACACTATTAGTCTACCCGTTTTCTTTTAAAATCTTACTGTTACCTTAGTTTAGTGCAATTAACAATACAAATGTAATTTACCTTTCACCACTAATAACGCATTCTACTTTCCATTGTTTGATTATTTTTCTGCATTTCATTCATTTGGGAACTTTCCTCTTCAGACTATTCTCACTCTGTTTACAATCGCTTCCCCTGCTATTGAGATGTTTTAATTCTAAGCTCTGTAAGGAACACTTAGAAGCTGAAATACTCTATTGATTTTTATATATTCGCACACGTTTATCCTGTTTATAATGGGCTTCCTCACATCTCCTACCGAAATTTAAATTTTATGTCAGATTCTGGAAATCACTCTTGCTCTTAGTGAGCAATATCATTGTGCAGGTCACCCCACCCACATTATAGGGCATAAAAACCAGATCCAACAATATACTGGGAAGCATTTTGTTCTTGCCAAGGACTGTCATGATGAAGGACAGCAAAACTTCTACTGACTTACCGGAGCAACTGTTACTCCTTGTTTAAAATTCACCAGCCTGTGGTTTACCCCATCAGTCAGATGCCAGCTGAACTGCATGGACCTTCATGGTGGTTACTACAGATCCCGAGTTGCCTAAATGGTAACAGCCCCCACACCCTCCCATTCTCAGAGATGGTATTTAATATTTGTGGAGCACTGAAGCAGACAGATCTTAAAACAAAATTATATTACTGCTTTTGATTTGAGCAGCAGGCCAATATTCAGATTCTTGTGTGTTATTTTTATTAAGAATTAAAAATTGATGCATGAGCTAGGGGATTTTCTTTCTGACATGGATTTACATCTCAAACATGTGCAGTGTCCTGCTTCCCTGAACAGTAGGAGTCCAGGACTTGGGAGACAGTGTCTTTGCACAGAATTGCAATCCCCTGCAGCCAACAGTTCACCTAAAACGCTCTTTTCTTCCTCTTGACTAGATTCCTACCACTGGTTCCATGTTTTTCTCTCTACTTACCTTTCATATCATCCTCTGACTTGTTACTTTTCTAAAGCCTCCATTCTCTCATTTTGCTCCATCATGGTGTTTATCTACCATTTATCTTTTACCATGAACAATTTAATATTCTCACAATCACTCCTTTTTCTTTCTAACTTACAACTTCTTCCTCCTTTGCGTATTTTTGTCAGTCACCAAGACAGTGTTGAGCTCTACATGTGAGCAACAATTTTAGGATCTGAGTGCACCAGTTGACTTCATCAGAATTACTGACAACAAATCTAATTTGATATCTGTGCTCCCAAGATCCTTTTTCAAAATTATATATGTGAAACACTGATATGTTTTGATAACCTGATAGATTTGAAACATTGATATGACATTGATATATAGTCTTTTTACAGATGGTTGTGGTGAAAGAAAAACTGCTATGAGAAATATTATTTCTGTAACAGAAGAAATTGGTTTATTATTAAAAAAAAAAAAAAAAGAAATAATTTGGCAGGAGAAATAAGTAGCAGTACAGCCTATCGACCAAAAAGAAGTGGCATGAGTGACCCTGCAACATGTTGCACTACCAGAATGAAATAAAGGTCATATAAAAATGACTCTGTAATCCATAGATAGAAAGAGAGACACTACACATATTCATAAACATTTTACTTGCCTGACTGGTCTATAGATTTCCTTAACACCAATGAACTGGAGTTGTTCCATTATATCTGGAATACTTGCACATCGGGTGAGGTTGATTCTCGGGTAATAGAGCAGATACGACAGGCACATTTCATTCCTGGTGCTCAGACCACCCTGAAAACGAGATTTTTCTTTTAATTAAGATAGCATTGGAATCCCACAGATAAAAACACTGATTAGCATTTATATGCTAATGAATTGTGTATCAGGAGGCCCAATTTAACAGGTTTACTTTGCACATGAAGTTATCAACTAGCAAGAAGTTGTTACATAATTAATTACAAAATACTCTGCAAGTTCAAGCAACAGCTCATGAGCTTAAAAGATGTCAGAAAGAACAACTATCAATAAAATAAGACTCCTATTACATTAAAGAGTACTGTCTGAGAAGTTCAGGTTTATTTTTAGCTGTCTCCAAGGTCCTTATCTCTACCATGTTTCAGAAAAAAAAAAAAGGCTTCAAAGTGGAGCAGATGAAAAAAAAAAATCTAGTAGGATAATTATCTGTTTAATAAGAAATTAAATGAGCTTTGCCAAGTAAAATGGAGGCCAGGATGGAATATGTACCTATATGGACTCTCCTTGTAAGTACATACGCAGATAAAGAGTAAGAAAGATTTAAGTTAACTGATAGTGTTGAGACAAGAATAAATGAGCACTAACTATAAAATAATTAATCAGAGCAGGATTTTTAGCTAGCAGAAGAAAAAGACACTTAAACAGTCTTCCATTGAGAGTCACGAGGCAAGCAACTAATTTAGAATTAATCTTGGCAAATACGGACAAGAATATTAGCTGCACATTCCTAAATCCTGTGTGGGAACAGTTCCACAAATCTTACAGAATCACAGGAATAGGACTGGAGAAGACAAAACACATGAACCCAGAGCCAAGTGCTAGTGTGATCACTACACAGGAGAACAGGACAAAAACTCAAAAGCCTTCCTTCCCAGTCGTTTGCTTTTCTTTATATACCTACTGCATGTGCCTACATGCAAGCCATGATTCAAGGAGAAGTATCTCTGTGCTCTCTGGATGGCAGGATCAGATCTTCCTTGCCGAACAGAAACCCCTCAGGTCTCACCTCTTGGAGATCTGGATCCAGCCCCTCCCGAGGAAGTGGGATCAGCCCCTGGTGAAGGGTGAGTGCCAGCAGCTACATCCCTCCCATGAACACACTGGGTCTAGCATCACTCTCTGTTTTTGCAGTCAGCTGGCACAGTCCAGCTCATGTCCCAACAGCCGAATTTGAAGGACATGGAGCTGCTGGAGCGGGTCCGGAGGAGGGCCACGAAGATGATCCGAGGGCTGAAACACCTCTGCTATGAAGACAGGCTGAGAGAGTTGGGGCTGTTCAGCCTGGAGAAGAGAAGGCTCTGGGGTGATCTTATAGCAGCTTTCCAGTACCTAAAGGGGGCCTACGGGAAAGCTGGAGAGGGGCTTTTTACAAGGGCGTGTAGTGATAGGACAAGGGGCAATGGATTTAAACTGAAAGAGGGCAGATTTAGATTAGATAAAAGGAAGAAATTCTTCCCTCTGAGGGTGATGAGGCACTGGAACATGTTGCCCAGAGAAGTTGTAGATGCCCCATCCCTGGAAGTGTTCAAGGCCAGGTTGGATGAGGCTTTGGGCAAGCTGGTGTAGTGGAGGGTTTCCCTGCCCATGGCAGGGTGATTGGAACTCAATGATCTTTGAGGTTCCTTCCAACCCTAACCATTCTACGATTCTATGATTCTATGAGTTTGCTTCACCTCCAAAACCAAGTGGCCACATCACAACAGCCAGCACATGGCCTCTGCTAACCTAAAAAGCTGTGTCTGGAAGATGTTAGGAAGTATTTTTTTTCTGAAAGGGTTGTCAGCCACTGGAATAGGCTGCCCAGGGAGGTGGTTGAGTCCCCATCCCTGGATGTGTTTAAGAATAGGGTGGATGATCTACTTAGCGATATGGTTTAATGGGGATTAGGGACAGTTGGACTCGATGATCTCTAAGGTCTTTTCCAACCTAGAAATCTATGAATCTATGAGTCTGGGAGACCGTGCACTGCCATGTGCCAAACATGAGCCAGATTCTCTCTACCCCAAAGGGGATGCTCACCCCCTGGTCATGGCCCTACCTTGTCCGCTGCCTTGGACATGCACCTGGGGCTGCAGCACAGCCACCCCTCGTGCCTGGATTGTAAGGGTGCACAGGCATGGTGCAGATTTCTACTGCACCACCCCGGGGACAGCAGCTGTCTGGGAGGGTCCCTGCCGCTGGAAAACTCACCACGTGAGAAAGGCTGTGGGCAGAGGCTCACTGTGCCCAGCCTCCTCCTCCCAGCATGAAGGACCTGCATTCTGCCCGGATTATATGCTAGGCACAATAGCAAGTTGTCCCACCTTGATCACATAAGTAAAAATCAATACGTAAGAACTGGCAACTACAACTTTGGTGAAAAATGCATAACAAGTTCATAAAAATTTTCCATTAGACGACGCATAATTTGCATGTGAATACATGTTATGAAGACAGCACTCCTTATAGTAGCAAAGTCTGATTTTTAATGATCTTTTATGAGCTGGCTTGCTTATTTTTATAAACTAATAATTTGAATGCCCTATGCAAGACATCGCACTATGATCATAATAGTCCTGATGACTTTAAAACCTAAGAATCTATGAAAGGAAAGATAATACATAATTATGTGCACACAGGCATTAGCAAGTAAGTTTATACTTTTTAATAGGATTTTATGAAAAAGATTTTAGTCCCCCATATCATCTGTGTACTTATTTTGACCCATTAAAACTTTTCTTACCCATGTCATGCGTATTCGGTCCACGGTACTGTAGTGGCATTCTGTCACTAAATTATCCCCCTGAAACACAAGATTTAGGAAGTTCACAGTTCTGAAGTTTATCATCACCAGCTTCAGGTAACCACAGATGACAGCAAACACTTAAGAAATAAAGATCAGAGCAGGGGATAGAATTTTTTTGAAGAGTAAAGGATTAAGTAATCAGCGTATGCTAAAGCCTTGGCACTTATCATTCATATTATCCCAGATCCTCAGGGATCTTCTATGGATTTAAAAGGATTCTTATTAAGAGTCGGTTCTGCTTTTTAAACTAGCAATGGAGGTGCCCACTTATAACTCTTATTTTCTGAAAAATTCTTTATGTAGATGATGTATATACATGGTTCTTGCTCCAGAACTCATGCAATGCTACTTTGGATAGCTTTCCCCAGGCTAATCTATCTTGCCAACTTCAGTAGAAACATTTGCCAAATGAGGAAAAGAAGGTTTTCCACATCACAATAATAACTATTTATCTGCCAAGCCTGGGAGTAGAGGAGTGGCAGGCAAAGACTTAACTACATTGACAGATATATATGGGAAAGGCTGAATGCTTACCTTCTCAAGTACATACAATTAACTTTTTGCTGTCTTGACAAACTGATCTACAGTTTGGTAGTACCTTTATTCCCAGTACCTAATCAAATATAAACCTCAAAATCACCATGATAATCAAGTGAAAATTCAAATATTGAAGAACATAGCCAGAAGTTAAAAACCTGGTATTTCTGGGCAACTTTCTACCACAAGGATGTCAGAGGTTTATTTACTTTGGTTCATTTTTTTGTATCATCATATTCCCTTATCACCCATTGTATTAATCTTTCCTGAAAAAATCAGATCACCCTTCAAATGTTGGGAATTTCTCCTTTCCTGCAGGTTGTCTCGTTGCCAGATCAATGCTAGTGCTAACTATTCTCCAGGCTGCTGGAAGAAGGTGCATCAGCCTTGTGTCGGCCAAATGGAGATGGAGCTTTCTGAAGCACTGTGTACTGGCACAGCTTCTCTGCTCCCAGCAGGAACATGCTGGTTCCCACCAGCGAGATCTCTTGCTTTCGTGGCTTATGAACTGGATAACATTCACTGAAAGTGTTCCTTCTGTGAGATTAGATCTTTTACTTCCAAAATCAGAAGAGAGTGCTAGTACGCAAAGAAAACAAATAACCTGAACTCCACAGGCTGAAAGAAGGATACACCCTTGAAAGATCTTGCAGAAGGACAGAATAACAAGAACTTATATGAACGTATTTAATATTATTAATTAATTGATCAAACTGTAGTCTGAATTACATCAGAATGATGTATATAAAGCTGTACCGGTAGTTTTGCATAAGATGAAAATAATAAAAGGCATGAAAATGGCTCACTTCAGAGAAAGAATTCCAGCTTCTACTCGAGCTGTCTTTTTTAAGTTGCAGATACTGCTAAATACCTCTTTTAGTCTTTCTGCTGTCTAGGCCCTTTTGTTCTTGAATTTTAAGAGGCCTTTCTCTATAATCTGCATGGATTTTCCTAAAAATATTACAGGCTTTCTCTGCAAACCTGTCATCTTCTGCCAGCCCTTTTCCTAAACCCTTCAACACTTCTTTCCTGGAGGAGGTAACACCAGTTTGTCTTTGAAGTCCCTGTGGAGTACAAGCAGTTGGACTTCAAAGAGTAAATGCTGCACCTGAACATCCAAGTTTTGCTGTAGAAAGTAAATTAGAAAGTTAGCATTTTAGCTTCTTGCCTGTAAAGGATAAACACCAAAGCATCCCAGTGTGGGAGGAAGGGATTTGAAGAGAAGCCTAGAAGTTTAAACCACAGGGTTTCTGACCATACTTGAAGTTCAGTCATTCTAAAGATCTTTTCAGCTCCCTTTTCTTACGAGCTTCAATCATAAAAAAATATCCAGTTGTTTGATATTTTGCATCTTCCCAATTCCATCGAGCAAAGGGCTTGTTCACACGCACCCAGACAGGCACATCTCCAGCTGCTCTGATGGTTAGATCTGGAGCACCGAACCTTTGCAGCACTAAACTTTCTGTCCTCAGGCCAAAGCTTCAAAATTAGATGCCGACTGGAACTCACAAAGGTTGAGTGAATAATTTTTAAATGAGCGACTCATCCAAAAAATATATACCCTGTTCATGCAATACCTATATATAGCCAATGCTTTATAATATAATTGCAGTTGGGATTTTTCTAAAAGATATATTACACTATTCTCACAAGAAGAGCGGATAGAATTTCATGATTTCTTCTTCCGAAGGGTTTTGTTTACTCAGTGAAACCTCATGTGGAACATGAGCACAGAGTTTTACTCCCAACAACAAATAAAAATGTGAAACAAACAGAAGCCTTGGCTGATTTGTAGACGCGTGTTTGCAAGGCTGGATACTTGGAGGATACTCAGGATGTGCTACTTGGTTCCAACAGCTCTGTAAAGCCACACGGTGGTGTTTCCATTCTTCAGCTGGCTGGATGTACAAAGATGGCACAACCAGGCACACGCGTGATTTTATAATCTGCCTTGTTCAAACATTTATAACAATAAGGTTCAAATTAAGTAATTGTGGACACCAAACACACCCAAAGAATAGCTTGAAATGATGGGCTGAGCCAGTTCTGTAATGAATTGGGTGGAAACTCCTGAGACATTGCAACTTTAATGCATTAGTCACTCTGCAGTAAGTGGAAAACGAACAAAACATTCCAGAAATTCTGCAGCAGAATCAGTCCTAAATATGAGTAAATGTTAGGAACACAACCTCTTAAACACTTTCAGGGAAAGAACTAGAAGTGTCGTACCGGCAAGATGGTTCTTTCTTCTTTCAAATACTGAAACTCCTGGAAGTTGAAGTCAAACTCATCATCATAAGCAAGCAGCTTCTGCTCCTCGCCGTTGTGGAAGTGGCGCATCCTGATAGCTCTGCCAGCAAGATGAGCATGAAGAAGTACCGCAAACACATGAATCCCAGCAGGTCTCTCAGCACCTAGGGCCTGGCCAGGGGAAGCCAACACCATCAGTGTTCCCAGGTGCAATATAATGTAACGTAATGCAATGCACAAACAGAGTGAAAATATGTTAATACATGCATTTTACATTCCCTCAGTTTACAGCAAAATTCAGTCTGGCCCAAAAACAAATCTGTATGTGAAATTAAGGTTTCATATACAAAAAAAAAAAAAGGCTAGGTTTTTTTCTGTTGTGTTTTTTTTTTTTTTAATAAAAACGTGGGTTTACTCCTAAGGCACATAGTTTTTATTAAAATAAACTGCCAATAATTCTCAAAAATAGACTAAGATTATACTAAAACCTGTACATAATTTTAGTGCTAATGGCTGGCACTGATGAATGTGGATGTTTATTGTGAAAAAGAATTTATATGTAGTTATAAATGATGTTATCACCAACATCATGCCAAGAGAAGTGCTTGAAATTAAGAGGCTGTAATTATAATACGTTCTACTTCCCATCTTCAAGTCAACTGGGAGTGAAATACTGCAGATTTACATCTGAAACTTTTTTCTGGGTCGAAACACAACTCTGACATCACTCCCATTCTAGCTGAGATCTATGGATCTGAACTTTTGGTATGCTAAACTTTGATTCTTGTTCAGAGCCCAACCTAGAAATAATCTGTTACCACAATACTTTTCAAGTACAGCCTTAAGGTCAGAAGCCTCACAATAATAAATTACCTGAGTGTTTTTAGGCTGAAAAATGCAATGTCAATAGGCAACATTTAGCACCACTAAGAACAAATCTAAATTCCATATGTAATTTGCCCTTCACGCCAAACCACATCGTAACAAGTACTGATTCAATCTTTCTCTATAAATGACAAAGTGTATGAGAATCTCCCATGCTACATTAATCACAGATTTTAGAAAATGCTTCTGTTATCTATAGAGATATTTAAATTATCTAAATGAGATCAAGTGTTTAATGAATACATAATTTTGTACTTTGGGCCATACAACAAAACCTATTCAGGTCTTTAGTTTCTGTGGTTGGTCTAAGAATACCTTTCAGGCTTTCACTTCACCATTAAGAGCCTTTTGCACGTGCACAAGTCTTAATTAGCATCTCTCAACATTTTTTCTGGGCTAGCTATTGCAGGCAAGCAATGGAAAGCAATGCATGCTTACATACTGAACTCACAATTAAATCGCCACAAGCACTGTGTCATCCAGTGTTACTCATATCAGTAAAGCAGCCTGAATATTGAGCACCCTAAATACCTAGATCAAAAAGACTCAACATTCTGGAGGGCAGCATGTACCAGATGTCTTTGCTCATGTCTTTAACCAGTACCTATCAATCTTCCCAAGAAGTTAAAGAGGCTGTCCAAAGCTGTTTCTAAGAATGAAAACCGATGGATTCAGGCAGCAGACATACCTCTTTCAGACATTCCAGCGTGCAGTGACCCTCTGACACAAATTCAGGCATGCCCGGTGGGATATTGTGGAAGAGGCTGACCCAAAGACCAGCTTCAATAACCCCAGCATCATATTTCCTTAAAACTGGAGTATAAATTAGCCTCAGACCAGAGTTATCTATCAAGCCTGCAACAAAAGAACACAGTCAGCTGTGGCTGTAAATCAGTATTTAAAAAAAAAAAAAAA